TGCATTGAATGATTTGACCGTAAACATGTTTGTATGCCAACATATTCTTGCATCTAAAATAGAAATTATGGTAAAGAAAAATGTAAAATTAAACATTTCATTTGTTTTATTTTGAGTTTTTGTGTCTTAACAGTATAGCTTGATCTTGGATATATCTGACCTTTTTAATATTTCTTTCCGTTTTCAAAAAATAAAGACAGTCACCCTGAGTGATGATCCAAACTGCATTATATTAGATGTTGGATGTTTTAGTCTGTAATGCTTCTCTATTTAATAACAAAAACATGTAAATTAATGTTTTGCTCTTAAATCTCATTTGTCTTACTCCTAATGATTGACTTTTGTATAATTGAGTAATAAAATTGATTAATACCATTTTTTAAAATCTAATTTCAGGTACGAGAACTCGTTCTCGATAATTGTCGGTCGGTTGAAGGGAAAATCGAAGGCCTCACAGCCGAGTTCGTCAACCTCGAATTCCTCAGTTTGATAAATGTCGGCCTAATCTCAGTGTCCAACCTGCCTAAACTAGCGAAACTGAAAAAGGTAAGATTTTACCATCGCAGCTTCTTAACGTGAGATTGGCCGCCAGCTGGTGCTGACGTCTCTGTCTACTTACCTTCCAGCTGGAGTTGAGTGACAACAGAATCAGCGGCGGCCTTGACGTTTTAGCAGAGAAACTCCCCAACCTCACACATCTAAACCTGAGCGGAAACAAATTGAAAGACATCAGCACGTTGGAACCGTTGGTATGTTTCTGTCTGCATAGAGCTTTACTCCACTCTAATACACATTTCATATCACATGTTTATGAACTTTTTTTTATTTTTGTCCTGTGTCTGCAGAAAAAGCTGGAAAACCTGAAGAGTTTGGACCTGTTCAACTGTGAAGTAACAAACCTGAACGACTACAGAGAGAGCGTCTTCAAGCTGCTGCCTCAGCTCACCTACCTGGACGGCTACGACATGGAGGACAGGGAAGCCTCCGACTCTGACGGAGAGGTGGATGGAGACGGCGTGGATGATGATGAGGACGAAGGTATGAAGTTTTAAAATTAAATTTGTGCTCAAGCAAAGTTCGAATCTCTTATGGTGTTTTGGCACCAGATAGTTCGGAAGACTCGGTTTGTTTGGGGACCAAAATTGCAATACTGTTACATTTTCAGTTGATGCCGTTTGCTTTCACACTTCACAAACCAGACCATTTGAAAAAGCTGCTCCCCTCCTCGCCCATAGGGGCGCTGCACCAGGAATCACTGAAGGAAACATGTGAGCCTCTGAAGAAGACAGTAGCTGTTTCCATTTCAAATGTGCAAAAAACTTTGTCAATTTTTTTGTTAACATTAAAAAAATACAATTAAAATCACATGAATGAGTTTTCTCACGCGATGTCATTTAAAAAATATGCTGGGCCGTCATCCTGCGAATGCAGATATTGAGTGCAACTTCCTTAACAAAATATGAACAAAAATGGAGTCGCGTCAGATTTCAGTGGCTGTAGGATTTCTCTCTTGTCATTGGTAAAAAAAAAGCATTGGTAGAAACTCATGTTTGTTTTGGTTGTATTTACCCAAAATGCACTGCACAATACTCTACTTCCTATTGATGCAGTTTCTGGTCCGCTTGGCGTTCACATATGCACTCCTATCAAACTAGAGTTCACTTACACTGGACCAAATCCTTGATTTTTAGGTGGACTAGTGTTTGCTTTGTTGGTCGGCGTTAGAATTTGATTTCGGGTTCAAATCTCCCCAAACAAACCGGATCTTGTAGACAAATAGACTGGAGTTTAATTAAAGCGGATTAAACGGGGCTGGTGTGAACATACGTTTGGTTATTTACGGCTGTTACAGGCTCCAGTTTGGAAATATTTTTGTCCTCTGGTTATGCATCTTGTAGATTTGTCAGAAAAATTCTGATTCAAATATTACATTTGAAACTCATCTCTACCTATATCAAATCCTTCTGTCTCACTTTTATTGTCTCTGGTTGTCGGTTTAATAACTTCCTTATCTGATGATCATCATTGTTGAAGAGTCAAATGGGGTGGAATTAAAATACAAAGAAATTTAAATACAAAGGTGTTGCATAGAAATGCACTGATATAAATATTCAGGTCAAAAAAGAAGTCCTATATTTATATTTCTGCTTTGATAATCGAAATGTAGCGATATCTTATATGTTGCTGACATTATTTCTCTGCTTCAGTTAGATACCCACAATCCTGTGCTGCATCACTGACTCACATGACCAAAAAAATACCACATGACCAACACCCTCCCATTACAGAAACATAAACAAGATGGAAAAAACATGGATTGCTGACATTAACACAAAATTAGCCGACATCAGATAGTATAAAATATATCCTAAATATTTTTTTCTCTATGAATATATCTGAAACTTGCAGAAACTTTTTGCTTGGAAAACATTTATTCAGCTCAGATGTAGATAATTATGCATGTTTATAAAATGACAGAATATTAAATTCATGACATAAAGTTTGATGGCAGTTCACTGAAAAATATAAAATAGAAGTATATAACGTCTCTGTTTCATGGAGTTGCATTCAATAGATGAGGAAAATCTTTGATCTAGATTTCCCAGACGGTTCCAGGAGTATTTCCCCTGGTTTCCACTTGGGGGCTGGTTGAAATTTAGCACCGACACCATTTATCCTGCAATACAGTATTACTGCATGCAGAATAATGCTGAAGGTCAATACGTACAAAGCTTTTATATATATCAGATTTGTCATGTTAATCGTTTAATTAAAAGGGAATAAATATTTGAATTTTGCAAATAAAATAAGCCAACATTGGACATTATATGGAAAAAGTGATGAACCTGCATCTTTACTCCTGTAAATATTTTTAAAGTGACCACTGGATGTGTAATTACAGAAAAATTACATTTAAAATAAGGGAAAAGTTATAAAATGATTTTTTATTTTTTTTAATGTAGCAGATGTTTTTTGTTTGCTACTGCATGGTGCATTCACTGACTGAAGGGAAAAATCAGATTTTGGAGAATCCGAGTTTTACTTATTATTTCTTTTGTTTTATTTTTACAGAGGGAGAGGAGGAGGAAGACGAAGATGGGGAGGAGGAAGACTTTGATGAGGAAGATGATGATGAGGAAGATGAAGAGGAGGTAGAAGGAGAAGAGGATGATGAGGAAGTTAGTGGTGAGGAGGAGGTAAGAAAACCCAAACAATCCTGATAGATTGTTTACATAAAGTGTGCTGCTTTTTTAAAAAATTTTTAACTTGTAAATAAATGTTTTTGATGAAGGACGACGAATTCGGCCAGGATGGAGAGGTGGAGGATGAGGATGAAGATGAGGATGAAGACGAAGACGGTGAGTCGCTATTTAAAGCTCATATTTACACAAATGGATGATAAAATGCATTGAGCAAACATGAGTTTTAATGAATCGAAACAAAATTCTTTTTTGTTTTAAATATAATCCAAATTTTAGTCTGAAGCTAACGAAGCTCTTCTTCCTTTCTGGATTTAAAATAGAGAATAACATCTGAAATTGCAAATAAACTGATTTTAAAAACCAAAATTTCTTCTTGTTTTTACACAATAGTTATATTTCAGTCCTGAGAATTGGTTTAAAAAAATCAGTTCTTAATAAAATTGAATGAGAAAATTTACATGAATTTATTAAAAACAGCAACAGAACTTAATAAATGATGCAAGTCAAAGATCCAGAAATAATTAATTTGTGATTTGGGAAATGCCAAGACTTGATTGTTTCTCAAAGAGAAAGTGAGAATTTTCTTCCAATAAACAAATTCTGAAAAAATAAATGATAAATTCCTTGAAGTGGGCGGAGCCAAGAAATGCATATGGATCTGACCACGCCCCCAGTCTTTTGGCTCCGCCCATTGGAAAGTTTTGTTTTTGGAATTCAGTTTGTCTTCACTTTATGCATAATATAAAATTTGACCAAAATTATAAAACTTCTACAAAATTATAAAACTTTACTCTCCTGGTGTGACAGTTTGAACACTAGAGGGCGCTTGTTAAGAACAGAGTGTCGCCTGAATATGGAATATATACACAAACATGTGGCCATAATCCTAGTAAATAACACAGGACTTGATGATTTAGGCAGATTTTTTGCATAATTAATTGTAGCTTTTCTTCCATTAGTTTAATGAAGTTTTTTTTTTTCCTGTATATGTTCAACCCAGAAGCAGAAGCCGGGAAAGGCCAGAAGAGAAAGCGAGATGCAGAAGACGAAGACGACGATGAGGATGACGAAGACGACGATTAAATGCAAAACTGAAAACGAGAGCCTACCGAGTTTTTCCCTCTTTGACCCCCTCACAAACCCGAACGTCCACCCTCCAACAACTCGCACCGCCTTTTTAAACCGTGTCAACTTGTCCCTCCTCTCCCTCCCCCCAGCACTGCGCTCTTTTTACGAGCAAGACTGTACCGACGGGTGGGCCGAGTGGAGCTGCCCCCTCCCACAATCCCCATCTTTAATTTTTTTCTTCTTCTTCCTCCCACACCAAGGAACTGAGAGCCACCTAACGCCCCCACTTCGCTTCCACCCGCAACCCCAGAGGTTCTCAGGCAGCCGACCACTCAGCATTCCACATTTCCACTGTCCATCCCTCTTTATGTATTCCCGTGTGAGGACTTTGGGACTGGTATCTAGTTTTGGGTCTGTGTTTTTAATATTTTGTTGGATTAATTGTTTTCCTTTTATTTTTTTTGTTGGGTTTATTATTTCCCTATTTTTTTCTGTTATTTTTTCCCAATAAAATTATTGCTATAGCAGCTGTGCAACCAGCAGGCCATGGTTTTTAGTGTGGCGGCCTGTTGCACAAATCAAGGTTGTAGCTACATTTTTACTTTCTGTATGACAAAAAAAAACTTTGTAAATAAAATGTTAACATTTTTGGCTTTTCTCGCTCCCTGCTTTGCTTTTCTGCTGCCTTAATTAAAATTAATAAAATTACAGATAGGGTTAGTTTTCATTCAATATTTTTGAATGAAAAGAGAAAAGCGTTTAAATACATTTTAAAGGTGAGGGTATAATTTAAAATGACATTCTTCAAAATGTTAAATCAATGTTCTTTCCTGACCAGAAACATACCTGAAGTTACTGTGATTATTTCATGCATGTTGGACAAATCCTTTAATCTGTCATTGGGGAGCGGAAGTGCATGGAAAGGCGTTGGCCAGGCTAATCATCTTAGCTGACATCAGTTTGGGAAGTGGCCGAAAAACGTCCTTTTCTATGGCTTCTTGGCATTCTTCAAGTCCTGCCAAACTAAACTAGAGCTGATTGCGATCTACCAGATGATCAAAGATGGTGTGGGTAAACTGGATATTAACAAAAAATAGACGTTAGCCCATCATTTGTCCCTTCACAGTTGGTGTTTTCTTCACTCGTTCACCAGCCGCCATTACAACGAAGGGACTTTTTCGAGTACTTGTCAGTGCGCATGCGCAAACAACGGCGCTAAGTGCAGCAAAAGTAGCTAGGTAGCGAGTTAGCTCCGATTTTTAGCCCCAAGCGTAAGAAAGGGTATAAAAAGTAAGGGGGCAGTACCAAGTAAGAAGACAAAAACGTAACACGTTTATCAATATATTTATAAATAAAAGTTTTGCATTTTGGTCATTTTCATGCTGAGAAAGTGAGCCTTTTATAAGCGTACTTAAAAAAAGGCTGCTAAACTACCGTAAATTGTGGAAAAATAAGAGATTACGACACATGTATGCAGAAATTGTTTCAGATTCATAAAAACCAACCGAAGCAGACGGAGTGTTAAGGTTTTGTCTGTGAAATGAGACACAAAAATACAGCAAAACCTGACGGATTATTCAAGATAAAAACTGATTCATTAAAACAAAATGTTGGCCACGGAGGATAAAACTCACATTTGAACTGTTTTGTTGCAATTTTCTGCTATGTGCTGACGGGACACTGGCTCATTCGTTGAGATTAGCAGCACATGTAACCCTTTACTGACCATGCATGATCACAGTCATCCTTAATCCTCTCCATGGAAATTAAGAAACAGTCTTCTTTTATCATGCATCAACAGTCTGGATTGCATTTAGTGCCCTAAACAAGGCTGATCCTGAGAATTTGGATTTAACAGGACATAAAATTAGCTAAACCAAAGTCTATCAAATTTAAAAAAAGATTACAGGAAAAATCTATCATTTTATAACTTATCTTTGTGATTTAAAACTTTTGTTTGGTGCCATTTAGTAATGAATTTCCTAAATAAAAATCTGTTAAAAACAGACAAACATATTTGTTTTGTATGCATTTGCTGCAATCCAGTGTCTTAAAACACATAAGAAAACTACCAAGGAAAACAAAAAATATAGTTATATAAAATAAATTAAAACAGACTATATATTCCTCATTTACTGGGTCAAAAGCACCTTTTGAACATTACATTTAAGATGATTTTAAGCGACAGACTGGTGACCTGTCCAGAGTGACCCCTCCTCTCGCCCGGAACGCTGGAGATAGGCACCAGAACACCTCCCGACCCCACCCGGCTCAAGGGTGTTAGAAAATGGATGGATGGATGGATGAATTAAGCAGTTTTAGCTCACATTTTTGTATTAAAACGTTTTTTATTGGTCTGATGTAATTTTCTAATCTTAAAAATTGTGTTTTCATTGACTGTAAGCAGAAACTCATGATAGAAACTTCCCTCCTTATGTTACTTAAACCTCATCAGGAAGTTATTGTTCTTTGCGGATTTGGTGTTTAACCTTAAAACTGTCAAATAAAAAACATATACCCCGCAAAAATGAAAGGAGACAATCATAAGTCATTAAGTTTTTCACAGCAAAAAAATAAAAATAGCATTTGGTTAATTTTCATCTTCATATATTTGCCAAATAAATCACATCCTAGAATTAAAATTCCTGATTAAAATGTGTATTCCCTGCCCGCATTTCAAAATAAATATAAAAATTAGGGTTAAAACTCATACATGGCATCAGATTTAGTGTACACATTAAAATTTATCTGTTTCCAGATAAAAGCTGTAATAAAGCGATCTGTGGCTTATAGACAGGCAGAGCTCGGGTTCAACAGGCAGGTCATTCGTTTAGCTCGTTCACATTCATTCACTTACAGCAGTTTAAATACAGGAGAAAAAAAATAAATCAAGCACACAAAATAAATTCAGCATTTTCGGCTCAGGCTCAAACATCTGTTAAAAAATAAAAGCTAAAAATATTACAGTAAACTTGCATAGCAGTGAAGTGTATAAAAGAAACAGGGCAAAGGTAAAAAGTTTATGTACACGAGCAAAGAATATGTGCACCAAGTGTTGGCTGAAGGTCGAGGTTTGAGTCTCGGGAGAGCCAGGAAGTTTTAAAGAACGAGGCGTTTCTGATTCCCAGATTTGTCCCGCTCAGCGCCGTGGGGCAAACCGGGACGCTCATAAAAGTTAGCTCTGCGTCTGGGAGTTCTTGATGTTCTTAATCTCCAGCTCGAGCTGCTTGACGCGCACATCCCTCTGGTTGAGGAGCTCCCTCAGCCGCCGGATCTCCTCCTGCTGCTTCAGGAACTTCAGACGCAGCTGCAGGCACACAGAAAACACGAGGAAGAGCGAAAGGATGTTTTACCCACAGTGGAAATGAGGCGAATCTCTGAAGTTGACGTAAATCCAAATGTCAACAAAAGGCAAAAACCACAACACAAGCAAAAAACCACAGCAGAAGTTTTGCCAATATGATGCTAAAACGGACGATATGCTAAAACTGCTAATTTAATGGAAGCTATGCTAAAGTTGCTAGCATGACTTCTGTTTTAGCACTGACACCTGAACGCCGGAACGCTACGAAATGTTAAAATACTTCCATGTCATTTTGAAAATGTAGGTTTACAAAGCATTTTTTTATTTATATTAATTAGGCAACAGAGTATTAAGTTTATGCTAAGAAAATATGACGAGAAAGTCATAAAATAATGTGACATTACTAGAATGAAGTTGTAGTATTAAGAGATTATTACATATACTCATTACAACAATATGACTATTCTCATATTTTTATTTTAGTCATAAGACTAGCCTCATATTATCAGTTTATACTTGAAATTATGATTTTATTCTCTGTATTTTGACTTTATTCTCAAATGACTATTCTCAATTTTGGGACTTTATTGTTTCTTAATTTTCTTAGTGTACCACAAATACTCTGTCATTTTTGCAAAATACTATTTGCTATTAGAGGACTTGTTTTCCCAGACAATGTCATAATTCCCTTAATTAACATTATTTATTATAATTTAGTTTGAAGATTCTGTAGAAAATTGGGATTGTAAGGTACATTTACTCTGTAATGTGCCCTCTGGTGGACTCATCACGAATGAGAGAAAAACCATTTTTATAATAATCACATCTTTAACGAGATTAGCTGTACAGTATTATAAAACTACAATTGGTGCAGATGAATGCTCATCATTTAGAAATGTAAAGTGAAGTATAACTATGTGTTTTCAGCCTGGAATTGATGGTGTTTGAAATCAAACGCACTTCGTTTTCTGTCCTGGGAGGCGAGCAAAGCGCCAGGTCCTCCCCGTTGATCACAGGCGTTTGACCGCGGTCGTCTTCGACCTGGTCACTCGTTTCTTTGGCTTCCTGTTGGTCCTGAATGTAGGAAAGCTGCAGCATTCCGGGCCGGCTCCGAGACCTGCGAGGGTCCACGGAGTTGGCTAGCGCCTTCGTCTCTGACGGCGGCTCTGGCAGTTCACTCCCGGGCTTCAGAGACATGAGAATCGGACCTAAATGATTAAGACCAGGAGAACTATGAGCCTTGACTTGATTAGATAATTAGCTGAATAAGAATGAGGCTGACCTTTATCGACCCCACTGAGCCACTCGTCTGCAGTCAGAGCTGGTCTATTACTGGCCGTCATCGGATAGATGTCTTCCTGGTACGACTCAGACTAAAACAACAAAACAGGCAGCATGAATAAAACCCAAAACAAGGACGTTTCTCTGACAATTCATGTGGTGCGTTTGAGGTCTGTGTAAAACTGAGCGCTCTCACCCTGCGGGGTACGATCATGGAAACGGGCTCAATGAGACTCTTGACTGTCACCACTTTGTAGAACCTGAAAACCTCACAGGAGCTGACATCCAGGCCTCTCTTAGGCATCACACCTGCACAACAACAACAAAACAACAAAACAAATTCAGGACAGCAGCTTTACTCCCAAAAACATCCGGTTATTCATTGAGGTTAGTGCTGAAGCGATTCATCCTGATGAATCGATTATTGAAATAATCATCTAATTTAATAATCGATCAATCGTTAACTGGGATATGCAGAAAAAAGGCAATTTGCTGAAAGAACACACTGAGAAGTAATTAAACCAATACTATACAAAATACATACATGGTGCTTTTAGCTTCACCTGGTTCAAATTCTGTTAAAAATAAATCTCATGTTTAGCACATTTTTCTATTCTATTATTAATCAGTTAATAAAAAAAAAAAATCAACAGATCATCCTTAAACTGTACTGATATTAAGTATTTGTTAGAAGTATTTTATTTAGTTGGAAGATGAATCCTTTGCTACATTCATTAAAGGAATCCTTTATTGTTCCATTTTAGGGAATGAAATGCAAGATTTTCTTAAAAAAGGAATTCAGTTACTTATATAAATATTAGCTTGTGAATTAAATATTTAGTTTGGAACACATTGAAACACTTTGAAAATATTTATTTCCTCCATTTTCCAATGAACACCCATATGTTTTTCACCATGACATGCTAAATATAGCTAATTATTGCTGATAATTGTTTTACTTAGTAACAAATGAAGGCACCCAATATGACTTTTATTGGATCAAGCAACGTTTTTTCTTTTCCAGGGTAGATTTAATAAATATTCTGATGCTTAGCAGCGAACTCTGACAGTTTACCGGTAAGGATTTGCGTCTCCCAACGTGAGCCTGTTTGCAGCAACAGCGACGACCTGATTTGGTTATTCAAATAAGCAGCTTCATTTGCACAGCAGCTTTGCTTACAGGTGCCAAAGAGTCAACACCGCCTGGAAACTGTGGGGCTTGAGAAGTTGGAAAGCGTTCCTTACCCATTCCTTTCTGAGGAGTGTGTGAGCGGTACTCCATCAGGTACTGGATGAACGGTTTTTCTGAGCTGATCTCGTAGTACCTGATGCTTCCGTCCCCCTAAAAACAACAGAAAACTTACAACTTTTTAAGGAATTTAACACCAGATATGATTTTTGTCTGGGTTTGAGTTCTGTTTACCTTCCCAGCAAGGTACAGCATGTGTGTGTCAGGATCGTAGAATGGGAACAGAAGACCTGAGGATCCATCCAGGTTCTCCTCCAATAAAGGCGTCGACAAGTCGTCCTGGAAACCAATGAAGATTAAAGCATCGGTTAAAAATCCCAACATGAAAGTTCAAGTAAACAGGCAGGAAAATCCACCCTCATATCAAAACACGATCAGTTTAATCCATGGAATTAAAAGCCAAGAACTCAATCCCACACTTTGCCTGTGCACAGCATTAGTTTGGCCACTAGATGGCAGAGTTGTGTTTAACACTCCAATCCTTCATGTTTTAAAATCCTATTTTAAAACACATGAAGGATTTTAAAACAAACAAAATCTGCATCTTCAGAGGAAAAATGCTAAATAAATGTAGATCCCAGTGAGTTTATTGTTAGAAGAGAAAAAATGTGCATATTCTGCATTAATGTTTGATTTATTTTTGAGCTATTTCTGTTTCCCTCACCTGATCCCACAGGACAATCTGTCGACTGTTGTAGCGTGAAGTGCCGGATGTGAAGATCATCTTCATGTTTCCTAAAATCAGCACCTTACTGGCTTTGTGTGTCTTGCAGTTTCCTTCCTGCAAATAAGCACAAATAGGAGTTTCCGCTGCATTTAAAACTCCATGTTATTACTTTACATCTAAACATATCTTTATATATTTAAATAGTGACAGGACTGTGCAAAACTGTTACGCCAGAGCTTATATCTTTGTTTGTGTCAAAGCAACACTTTCTTTCAATTCCTCTGGACTTTGGTTGCTTCTTTTAGATCACTTGTTTGCCCAGTCCTATAAATAATCACATATATTTGAAATATTATACAAAACCCATGAATGTAGATGCATAATCCTGCAGCTATTTGCGGATTCATGCAGCTGAAATACAGTTTCCTCTCTGTGAAACCTTATTATCTTTGGTATATTTATTTGATACGGATGAAGAAACTGGAACAGGTTAGTGATAAAGAGTCCCAAGTCAAGGTATTTTGAAATGATAAGAATCAGCTTTATGCAGCTAGTTTTTAAAAAACACAATTGTGCAAACAGTTTGGTTTGCACAGCTTGCGAAACTGTGGATAGTGAACCTTCGCCTGTTCGTGGTTCAGTAGTCATGGATTTTTCTGCTGAATGCAACTCCAGAGCTTGGAAATTTCTGCAATGATACTTGAAATGCTATTTGCCGGTGTTCGCAAAACAGCCAATCCAGGAGTGGCATTTATTTTCCTTGGTGTTGATTGTCTGAAGCATCAAGAGTGGCAATAAGGAAGACTGAGGATGCGAGCTTCTGTAATGCTAAAATGGTCTCCACTCTGTGTATTAATGCATATTTAGGTATATTTGTTGTTCGGACTATTAAAATAGGCATTTATAAGCAAATTTATCAAGTATTCAGTCTGTGATCCCTAACCTTTGCGAATATGAGGGTTCACTTTTATGCAAACTAATGAGCATAGGTCAATGTTTTCATCTTTTAAAACAACATTCACTGTGAAGTAAGACTTTATTAGTTTTTGGAACACTTTACAAACTGCTCAGATGTCTTCTAGTGCTGTGGAGCAAATTCTTTAAGAAATGAAGATAATCAAAGCAAAAGGAAACCATGACGTAGGACAGGAACTTTTTCTGCAACCAATGAGCTGAAACCAGCTCATTGTTAGGAGCGGAATTATCAACAAGTCATATCAAAACTGCAAATTTGCTAACGTTCGTTAGCCTGAGACTTTTACAAACCGTGCTGCAAAAAAACAACAGGAGCGAGATCTAAGTTTATTAAATCTAAATCTGTTGAGTCGGGAATATAATCAAAAACTAATAATAATGTTGCGAGTGTTTCAGATGATGCAGTGTTTGAACGTCTAGCTTTTTTAACCAAGCTAACTCATGTTGGTGCTGCATCTTAAGGTGAACCTGTGGAAACTGGGAGAAAATGTCTGTCACGGCTACTACTGCATCTAAAACGTCACCGGTTGAATGAAACACAAAATACTGATCTAAACAAAATATAATACTGACGAAATGTGTCCAGTAGAGCAGGCTGGATGCAGACCTGGAGATTCCCGGTTCAGACTCAAGGCAGGATGTGTCAAAACAACAACTGTAAATAATTGTATTTAAAAAAAAAGTTAATTTAATTGAATAAAACTTTTTGTCGTTATCTAGTTCTCTGTAATACCTTCCAAGGCAGAACTGGATCTAAAGCCCAGTTTTAGTCAAAAAGACACTAAAAGTTCCTTCATTTCAAAGTAAAATGAAAAAGTTCTTTTTCCAATCGACACTGACATTCAGAACAATATTGCTTATGTAAAAAAAAACAACTAATATCTAATGGACTCCTGCTGCTGAGCCAGAAGTCTGTGGCGCTGAGTTGGGATCCAGCCCAGGACAAAAGGTGTCAGTTTTGGCCGCGTGGCGCTGAAACTGCTGGGAGGAAGGGAAAACAGAGGAAGGGAATCTCCCGCTTTGGCTCGGCTGTGAGATCACCGCAAAATAAAGAGCCATCGTTCTACACGTTTAAAAAAATATTCTGCAGCCAAACAAACCTGCTCAGAAGAACCATTTACAACGAGTGTGAGAGAAACGAGTGAAAGATACCCTCAGTGATGGGAAAGAGCAAGAGATAATTCAAATGAAGTGTGGGACTTTCCCTCGTCTGTGTAGGGAAATGTCGGTTACCTGAGTAGATCGTAGGAAACCGATCAGACCGACACAGGAGGAACGGCTGCAGAAGAAAGATACAAAGCGGCTCTGAAAGTCTGTCTGCTGTGTCTGGTTGAAACTGGGATGAAATGATGCAGCTTTTCTGAAATAATTCTGGGCTCTTCATGTCTAAGAGATTTCTAAAAATGTGTATTTTCTACATTTAAGGAGCAAAAAGATTTAACATGACACTTGCATGGCCCTTTCCCAGAAAATGCTTAACTGGATCCAAAGCTGTTGTTTTGAGAGATTACAATTCTGCATAAACCTCAGTGAAATCTGGGGACGAGGCCGATTGTTTGAAATGTTTAATGCGCCGCTGTGGATGCGTCAAGGAAGGAAGTTTAATCAAACATCAGGATTTGGTGAAACCTGGTATAGAGAAATACGGAGCAGAGTTGTCCACCCTGCTCCACTTTCACATTCCATTAGTTCCAGATGTTTTGTACAGTAAAGACCTTTTAAAACAGTTTTTAAAATTGCTAAATGAGTAATATTTTACCTGCAGCATATTCCCTGAGCGCGCCTCCATCAGCCGGATCTTCCTGTCCCTGCAGGTGGTGGCCAGGAGGCTCCCATCCGTGTTGAAAGACATGGACAAGACGACGTCTGTGTGGTGCTTGATGGTCCGAACGGGGTTCTTTATCACCTGCTCTGGAGAGTCCAGGTTCCAGATCATCACCTGGAGGAATAAATGCACTTTCACCAGACAAATAAAAATAAATAAAAAACTTGTCTCAGTGCTGCCCTCTTTGGTTGAACAAAGGCTACTGCAGCTTAATTTTCTTGGTTGATGTTTATGTCACAGCTCCAGGATCGGGTATAAAAACATTTAATTCAGACTCAATAACAGGAAGGAAAATTTGCGAGTTGCAATATCAGCCCATCTTTGTGGAACAATATGGTAAAAAAACAACATTGGCTGTGAATACAGATATGTGACGCATTCATGATAAAGATGATTGACGTGTTTAGTACCATTCTTTTACACAGTTTAGGCTCCAACTCCAAAGGGAAGAACTGATTTTCTGTGCTTCAGAAAAAACAAGCTGACCTAAATTAAGATGAGGCAGAAAGCCAGGCTCCAGTCAGTATAAGTTAAAACAAAAGCTTCAAAAGTGAAGCTGAAAGTGAGGAGAAATATTTTCACATGCTTCAGTTTGTGTCAGAAGATGAGATGCATTCGTGCCAAAGCTTTAAAGAGTTGCACTAAAGCTGACCTAACTGGAAGGAACATGCTGGACCGCGTTTTATTTGAACTTCCTTCGTTATCTGGAATAAAAGCTGAAACGATGTGTAACAAAGTGTTTTCTCCCAAAATATTTCAGAAATCCAGATAAAAGTATTTATCTGGGATCCGACCTGCTCAAAGAATAGTGCTGGACAGTTACACACACGGTTGTTTCTCAGTCTCTAATGTTCTCAGGACTTTAAAGTTTTACAGATTAAATACAAACTTTCAAGTGTAATTTATGGGAGATAAACTCTTAAAAGGAAGGGAGGCTAGGAGTGATGGATAGATGAATGAAACAGCCAGATAAGCAATTGAATTACAAAATAACATTCTTTTTTTCCTTTATTCATTGTAAAAACCATTAAAACATTTTTTTTTTCCAGCCAGGAACCCTGAGTCCTCATAAAGCCACAATCATCTTAAAGAGCTAATTCCTGAAACCTGTTTGGCTGCGTTGTTATAAACGTTCTGTAATATATTTCACAATCAGCTTTTTGTTATCCTTATCGCCTCAGACGGCGTTTGTTACCTGGTAGTCGTAGGCGGTGCTGAAGAGGATGTTGTTAGCCGTCGGATGCCACTCGATGATGCCCACCCTGCGGCTGTGACCCTGCAGCTCTTTCCACGGCACTGTCAGGGTCTTACGCACACCGTCAGGCGGGATTTCCCAAACTTTCACCTGCACGCACATAAACGGCAATAAATAACCAGAAAACCTTTAGCAGAGAGTGAAAAGACTCTGACCCGAGGCAAAGTTCATGGATGCCTCTTCCTCTGTCTGCAGGGCTTTGTTCTGGGCCGCCCCGGCTCAACAAGCGAGGCAATAAAATTATCTCCCTACAGCGACATGCTCATATTCCAGGAATGAAGCAACATGTCCTTTCAGTCTCACAGAGGCCTCATTTATGAAAACAAATATCTCCAACACATCACCTTAAAAAACTCTGTACACATGGGATTCATTTAAGAAATGTTCATCAACACAAACCTGCTGAATTACTCCAGTCAGGGTTGTTTTAAACATGCCAGACCTGTAGGGGGCAGTGTAGCACAAAGCTAAATCTTTTAATACGGAAACCAATTTTTCTATTCAAATGGTTCAGAGATTTTGTTTGAATTATGTGACTGACAAGCATAAATAAATTACATTTATTTAAGACAATTATTTTCCATCAGTTTATATTTAAGCAAAATATAATAAATCGTAGATAAATTTCTGTTAGCTTAGCTGCTTGGCTTTTTTATAAATAAATAAAAAATCAAAGAGTTATTCTAAATCCATACAGTGGCTGAAAGGATGTTTAACTTAATATGCATTGTAGCTGCGCAACTTGACGCACAACTTAAATGTATTTTAAAATCTATTTGAGCATTTTGAATCGATTCAGAGATCCCAGAATTAGGATTTGCGATTTTCTATAAAATTGATTTTTTTCTGGACCTCAAGCTGCATCTAATGATTATAGTTAAACACAAGCAGCTCACATTGTTCACAAGTTAATATGTTGTTTAACCTGTTCTTTAAAATGTTTCACTGTTATTAAATATATCATCAGCTGGCTTTGAATTTCAGAGTTGCTCACCATACAAGTTATTTTTTGTGCATTAGTTCTAACTTTTTGTAAAGTAAATCTCTTTTTTAAGAGAACGCCTAATAAAATGTGTTTTGACTAAATATATTTTGAAATAAAATCACAGTATAAACACCTGTGATTTTACAACAAAGTATAATGAACTTCTCTATTCAGTGATATTAGCCAAACTGCATAAAGATCCAGTTGGTTTCCCAGATTTATGGGTATGATTGGACTAGGCCTGTTCACGCACCGTGGTGTCCTCGGAGCAGGAGGCGATGCAGTAATCATTGAACGGATTCCATTTGATGTCCAGAACATTTCCTTTGTGGCCCGACACTCGAGGGTAATGAGGGTCCACTTTACCTATCTGGCAAAACACAAAAACACCCCGTCAGTCTGGAAATGATCGTTATTTACTCTGTTGTGAAGAAAATCAATAATATCCCTCATGGATAAGCAGCAATCAGGAGTCTGAGTGTTTGTGTCCAAAGGTAACAAGAGCTGACGAAGCCGCACAATGCAAAGCGCAGAACAGGGCTGATTTCCATGTGAGCCTGTGTGATGTAAACTAATCTGTTTCCCATTTCACTGTGCAAAAGTTTCAGGCGTTTTAGCCGTCTCAGACATGAAAGTTATGGCACATCTATGCATTGACTTGTTCTAAGCATCTTAATGTTTAGATTAGGTTCAGAATCATCCGGTGGCATTGTAATGTAGAGCTGCGTATGATGATCGTCTTATTGCTCCTTATGGCAGCGCAGGAACATGAGGACTTTAAAGAGGGGTCCCAGGATTGACCCTGGGGGACCCCAGATGCGACTTCTGGCCGATCCAAAGTTGTCTGTTGACACAGGAAAGCCCGGTTCTGTAGGCAAGAACTGAACCAATTACGTCTCACCCAAAGAGAGTTTGACTCAAGTCTCCGGTCACTTTATAAATACTTCCTGGTTCCATGCAGTGTTATAGTCAGTCATAATAAATGGAACATTGATCAACATATCTGACGTGTATTGATTGTTTTTAGTTCAGTTTATTTTGGTAAATTGTGAAACAGAGGAAACAAAAAGTAACAATAAACAAACCCAGAATTTAACAAAGGATCAGGCTGAAGCCAGAGATTATACTGGCTTCATGTAGTTTTTATGACTTTATATTTCTATGATGTAAAGGAATTTGAACTGCCTTGCTCACTAACTGAAGAAAAAAGACAGGTGGAGTTGGATAAATCTCAGTTCGTCAGCCTTCAGTATTGGTAAACCTGTCCTTGACCGGCTTTGATTATTAATCTTCAAGTCAAATGCCGTAAGATAAAGTAGTTTGTGTTCATTAAATGCACAAAACCTGGAAATTTCCTCTTTCTGTCGATGAAAAACAACAAGAGTCGTAAGATTCCTGTAATTCCTTGGTTTTTGGAGGAGAGATTGCTGCAAAGCCAGCGACTGGATGCCACTGAGCAGCTGCTATCTGAATCATTTCAAACACAAGGTCCAAACTGAATAGATGTAATTCAATTTATAATGAAATGGTGATTTTCATTCTAAAAATGTTTGATTATTTCACATAGTTGTGGAGATAAAGTAGATTTATCTTTTACACACAAGTTTCTGTGTTTTGTACATCAAACAGAAGAAACGCCTGACATCTGAATCGGTCTCATCTGACCTGGTTTGCAAAGTTTGATTTGACAAATTTGTTTAAATTCAGAAACAGATCAAAGTCAAAACAGCTAATCTGCATAATGACCCAGCCATGACGTTTGGTAATAGATGGCCAGTTTTGGATTATGACAGAAGGCGACTCAACGACAATCCGTGTTTAGATTTGTGGATTTCTTGTCTGTTTGCAGCTCCAGAAAAATCCCAGACATGTTCACACAGATGTGCGGTTTGGTTTGGAGGTAAACGCAGGTAAAAGAAAAAACTCCTTTCCAACTCTCAAACATCTGCCAGGTATTTTTTTATTGTAAGCTCCATGCAGCATTGCTCACATTAATGTCCCTGCAAGGCATTTATTAGACTTCACCAGACCTGACAGATCCAGGCACGTAGCTCGGCTTCCTGCTGTCCTATTCCACATAAATAATCAAAAATCCCTTCAGGAGAAATTAAAATAATTAAAAAATAAGATAATTATGACTGAAAAGCCAGTCAGCCTGATGCGCAGGGAGAATGGGGGTGTCAGGCTGATCACATGGATTCCTGTTTTGACACCGAAACAAAACTTTTTGACGTCTCCCTTCATAGCAGATCAAACAGAGTCTGAAACTGGTATTTATGTGGGAACGGAGCGTTCCCTGGACCCCAGGCCTGCAGGTAGAGTCAGCCTTCAGATGATCAGTTTCTATGGCCTACATGTTTGTTTCTATCTGCAGACTGATTGCACGGAGCGGTGGGACGGTGAAGAGAGAAAGTTTCACCTCCTTAAGACATAAGGGAGGGTCGAGAGATGAGATAAGTCATTCCTGAGCTCCTATGCAACCGTGAGCCGTGCCAGGAGGCTGGTGCAAACTCACAGGAAGAAAGAAAGAAAGAAGAGCTCAGCGCCATAAATCCCTCTAATCTAGAGATGAACAGAAAATTCCTCAAGTCACCTCAGGTTTTTTTTTTTGTGATATTTTGTAATAATGAATGTTGAATCTTGTTGGGAAAAAAGTGCAAAAGGGGCCACATTCTAACCTGAGAGGAGCTCCACCTCGTCTCGCTGTCAATAAAAACGCTGATCAAACTGATCATAAAGTATCTCAACACAAAAGGGAAGTTAATTAATGATTAAAAATTCATTTTAACTCCATTGCCCTCCAGCTACGACAGATATCTGGGGAATATAATCACAGCAAGAGACTTTTATGGTTTTCCACAGTTTTGGAATATAAACTAAACAATTATGACACCGACAGGTCAAGAGAGGGAGACTAATGTCACATAAAAAGCATTTCTTTAAAGCTGTGGTATATAACATTCATCTATTTTCTAACACCCTTGTCCCCAAAGGGGTCAAATTTTAAAAATTGCAGAAAGTGTTTGTGTGTTGTGAATTTTTGGTCAAAATATGTTTGTTCTGGATTCAGTAAAGTTACTCAAAGCAGGAAGAGAATCTAGAAATATTACTCAAGTAAGAATAGTGATACTTCACAATAATGTTACTCAAGAAAAGGTACTACATACAGCGTGGTAAAAATACTAATAAAAGGATTTTTTTTCCAAAAAGGATGAGTGGATGCAATCAGTTAATGCCAAACTCTCCCATAAAGTCCATCTTTCTTGAGTACTTGACTGAAATTTATTCTCAAACAAACCTCAAGTCTTTATCGACCAACTGCATCAATACTGAGATTAAATTCATCGAGTTGCATGACTTGTACAGTCGCCAATCTCACAGATGCTTCCAGCTCTTTCATCTCCGATTTTTATGGAGCGTCCTTTGTAATTATTAAACCCGCATCGACTCCGCTCTGGTTCCATTTATTCAGCTCCCATCTGAATCCTTCATGAATTTATAAAACAGGAGAGCCGTCCCCTCCGTGTCTTCCCTGGTAAATCAGTGCAAACTCACATGATGGATGGACACAACCAGGAAGGCTCCGCCCCCGGCGCACTCTGTGATGATGGCGACGAAGCGAGGGTTGACGGCGCAGAAGTGGTTGTCCTGGACGCTGCGTGTGATCGGCACGCCATCGTAGCAGTTCTCCTTAGTGGCAGCTTTCCCGAACACGTGGCGAAACTTGGAGCTGCGGTACTGAGGACGCCATGTCATCTGAGGGAAGGAAGAGGAGGGAGAAACAATTTTAAACGTAAAATAATCTGAAATATTTTTTAAATATGTAATTTCAATTGCAAATAAACCAATTCTAAAAATGTATCAATTTTTGGGTGATCTTTGTTTTTCTTCAGATCATCTGCGATCAAATAAATAACTCAACACTTAAACCATCTCGGCAGAAAAAGCCTTTCTGAGTCCTGAGTGTCTTTTTAGCCCATTTCCTCGACTTGCTGGTCGATGCATATGTCGTTACAGAGAGAGCTGAGAGGCTGCGGTCCACCGGGACGAGCCTCGGCCAGCCGGCGTGTCTGCTCTGCTGCAAGATCATTACTTATGAATAAAGGGTGGAGGCCGACGTTAACGAGATGCTACGGCTTAAAAACAACAACCTGCTGCAGAAACACACAGCACAAGGTGTGATCTCATCACAAGTTTCTGTTTTCAGGCAGATCCAACTTAAAACAAGGACCTGATTCTAACAAGTGGCTCTGATGATTACCAAATTAATAAAGGTTAATCTGCAGCTTTAACACAAACCAACCGCTGCAAACACAACCGGACCGGCAGCACCGACATAAACTGATAAAACTGTTGATGAACAGCAGCAAACAGTTCTGATCTCCTGGGAGTTAAGAGTCTGGATCGGTTTTATTTAAGCTTAATTAACATTCTTGTCACATTTAGTTTTGATCCCAAATCCTGGAATAATTTATTTTCTTTGCATTTTGGTCAGATTTTGTGATGATGTTCAGAAGATGTTCTGATGGATTCTCCTCCAGGTCTAAGTTTATTTGGGCTTCTTTTCATTTAATTCAGGTGTGAAATGGCTGCTAAGCTCAACGGATGAGCAGAATAAACTGAGATTGTTAAAAGTGATGCATCATTCACTGCTTTGTTTTTGATGGGTGTGGCATCTCTTCTGCTCCCCTCAGCAAACACAGCGCTGGAATCAAAACAGCTTTCAGCTTGAACAGATGCTGATCGGAGAACTCTGTTGTTGACCACTTCAAAAATTACAGAAATAATTTGGCAAGAAAATCCTCATTATCTAAAATAGTAAATGTACAAAAGTGAAGCTTACTGCCCAAAAAAAAAGACAAGTTAACAAAGCAACTGATCCATCAGAAGAGAAGAGGAAGAGGAAGAGCAGGAGGAGGAAGAGCAGGAGGAGGAGGAGGAAAGGTCATTTCCACCAGAAACAGAAATTTAAAACGGAGAACCGTTGTTTGCTTATGAAGTTGGAATTTGGATCTGAAAGGAACTGAGTCCAGTTTAACTGGTTAAAAACCAGTGAGATCCCAGTTCAAAGTGAAAACATGAAACTGCCATGAAGGATGAACAGATAACATTTTATGAATAGATGATGGATGAACAAAGAACCAAGTTGAAGGATTCACAGATGGACACATGAACAGATGATCAAATGGACGGACGGACAGATGAATGAATTAATGGACAGATGAATGAATTAAGGACAGATGAATGAATTAATGGACAGATTAATGAATTAACGCACAGATGAATGAATTAATGCACAGATGAATGAATTAATGCACAGATGAATGGATGAAAGAAATGGACGCATAGACAACCGGATGGATGGACAGATGAACGAAAATCCACCCAAATAGACGTATAGATAGATGGATGGATGATGGATGGATGGATGGATGGATGGATGGATGGATGGATGAATGATGGATGGATGATGGATGGATGGATGGATGGATGGATGGATGGATGAATGATGGATGGATGGATGGATGGATGATGGATGGAAGGATGGATGATGGATGGATGGATGGATGGATATGATGGATGGATGGATGAAGGATGGATGGATGGATGGATGGATGGATGGATGGAAGGATGGATGATGGATGGATGGATGGATAGATGGATGGAAGGATGAAGGATGGATGGAAGGATGGATGATGGATGGATGGATGGATGGATGGATGGATGGATGATGGATGGAAGAATGGATGATGGATGGATGGATGGATGGATGGATGGATGGATGGATGGATGGATGGATGGATGGATGGATGGATGGACAAATAACCAAATTCTGTCCATCCAACCAACAATTGGTCAGACAGAATGAGGGAAACTCATTGTCATATATAAACATATGTAGCTTCATTAACCAATAATCTGCTGTAAACACAGATTAACTAGATTATTCTAAATTATTAATCAATAAAGTAACAACTTCAACTCAACTTTGGAGGATAAAAGAAAATATCAGGCAGAAAAATCATGAAATGATCACATGTTTCCATCAGCCTAACTAACAAACCCTGATGGACAGAACCAACACTGAAGCTAAGCTAACACATTTAGCATCTCCAGACTCTGTTCTGGACGGCTCCATCTGATGATCCGTGTCAGATAAACGCTCAGTTTGCTGCACCGGGTCAGATCTGCTCTAATCAGCAGTCATGTCCTGCTGAGGCTTACAGGAGCAGAAGCTGATCGTCTGGCGGTTGTAATCAGGCCATTGGCAGCTGCAGGCCTGCTGACGGCCAAACACCATCCCGCCTATTTATACACCGACGTCTTGCTGATCAAACGCCGGCGAGGCGCGCTCAGTGACAGCAGGAAATTTGTTTTACTCCCAGGAGTCTCTCTGAAGAAACGGAGATGCTGTCCGTTCTGCCGGAGGGAAATGTATTTTAGTCGTGTTACAGGCTGTAAAAAAAACCACAGCATGCAGCCGGAAAACTGAACTGAAAACACAGAAATGGTGAAAAAATATTTCTAAACGAATTGATTTCAGTAAAACGTCCCTAAAATCTGTGAACTGTCTATTAGGATTTTCTCAGGACTTTCAGTCATTTTCCAGACTCAGTCAACAAAGTTTAGGCGTCAAGAAAGAACAGCATCTTTCCCATCTTTGTTGCTCCAATGGAAAAAGTAAGTACACCCCAGGATTTATCAGGTTGAAGAACTAGCTTTACATCTCCGCAATCAAAGGCAACTTTAGAAAAACGTGTAAAACTTTGTCTGTACTCTGCCAATGCTGACAAAAAAAAAAAAATTCGCAATTGAGGTGTTTCCATTAATCGCACATGAAGCTTGTCCACGTGATATGCAGCATTTTGGGGGAATTAATCACTTTCAAATGACACACAACTGGTGGAGAAGCCAGCAGCACGTTACCTGAATAATAATAATAAAAACATCATTTTCCTGCCACTTCCTGTTTTCTTCTGCAGCGTTTCTGCCAGTGGTAACATCCGGCTGTTTGAATTGTGACTTGTGTGTTTCAATATGGCTGAAGAACAGCATTCTTAGAGCAGAAGTGTTTTCTATTCTGGTCCATTGCAAATCTGAAAGTACAATCAAAACCTTTAAAGCCAAAGTCCAAACAGCATCAATCTGTCAATACAGCCGTCTGCAGGAAACGATCCTGAAACTCGTGACAGGAGCCGCGATACGAAGGAATATCAGGGCCATCAAAGAGAAACAAAAGGAGTAAACTTACTAATTTTTCTAGAATGAAGTAAGAACATTTTCTAAAAAAAAATGTAAGAAATAAAATTAGAAAACTCAGATGTTCTAGAAAGTATTTTCTCAAAAGGTTTTGACTTTTCAAACTCAAATTTCCAAGTTTTTTCTCAAAGAATGTCTGAGATCAGCATGAAAATTATTTTTTTTTTCTAATTGACGGCTTCAAACTTCGAACTTTCCACATTTTTTGCTAAAAGATTTCTGAGATCAACCTCAACATTTGAGTTTTCAAATTCAGAAATGATCTAGAAAAAAATTCATTTCTGAGATTAATTTCAAATTTTTATTTTTTTTCAAGCACATTTTTATCTTCTCAAATTCATATTTCCACTTTTTTCTTGTAATTTTTCAGCTTTTCAAAATCAAAAATCTCCTTGTTTCTCTAGAAAATTTTAATATTAATTTCAAAATCTTAGGATTTTTTTTCTAGCCAATTTTCAACTTTCCAAGCTCACAAATTTCCTTGTTTTTGGCAGAAATGTACAATTCCTCAATTGGCCCTAAATCGTCGTTGTGACTGTGCCTCTCCTGAGTGGAGGTGGGATGTTTTCCCACCTCTCCGGGTGAAATCCAACACGAGGAATGCACAGGTGTGAACGCATGTCGTGGCATATCTGCACACAGGTATGAATGGCTGCCACTGCCTGATGTCGTCCACACCTGACAGCTTACAAACTGAGCGGTAATAGGATAACAGGCGATAATCCCAGGCTGCTGCATTACAGCAGGGAACACGTTTGAGGGGATGAGACGGGTAAAACGTCTGCATGTACCTGACAGAAAACATCTTAAAGCTAAGCAGAAAACAATCGCAGAAATCCCACTTTCTGTTTCAATAAAACACAGATGAACTCCCTCACAGGTCCTCTGCCTTCCTCTGTTTATGCTCCATTTCTTCATGTTGGCTCAAAGTGACAGAATAAAGTCGTAATTCTACAAGATGAAGTCATAATACCAGACAGATAAGTCTTAGCATGGCAGAATAATACAAGAGTAAAGTCGTGATTATACATGGAAATTAGTTGTAATATTGCAAGATTAAAATATCAAAGTAAATCAAAATAAATATTAACTATCAAAGATTTTTCTTCTTGTACTTTTATGTCTCTCTCTCTTCTGGCTGTTTTACAGCAGAGTGATTTAATGACAAGACAAAGCAGGGTAATGATTAGCGAGCGCAGCCGTCTGCTGGACGGGGCGTGGAGGACGAGTGGGCGCACAGCCGGGACACAAACCTCCTCATTTCAAGCTTTTCTTTATGTTCGATTAACACATTATCCACCTTTTCAACGCGTCTTTAACCCTCATCCACCATCTGCAAACATCTATTTTCAGAAAACTGAACACTTTTTTAAGTTGCCCAACTTCTCTTATCTAACTCAAAGAAACACGCCTATGAATGTTTGAAGATCGCAGCGACTTTGCTCCGTTTCACTCCCAGCAGCTTGTGGCACAGTAGCGACTTGTCATTCATGTCCTGAGTGACGTGGAAATCGCCCCACTCAGCTTTAGCACCATGTTTGACCAACACTTCAGGGGGAAGAGAATCTTCTATTTGTTACAACAGAGTGAGGATGATTGACTGTCAGCGTGCAGCAACAGGGGAGGGAGGGGAAACATTTAGTAGACAGAGCAACAAGATCTCCCTTTTTAGGAGTTTAAAGATGACTTAGTTGGGCTACCTGCTCCGGTACAGCCTGCAGTCCACCACAGCTAGCTCAGTGTAATCGAAATCTTTTAGTTTAGCTGACCTGCAGTGCTCAGCAACATGTGGAGGAGGGGCACACCTACATATGAAAACTTCAGTGACATTGAAATCAAAGATAAATTAAAGATTTTTTTTACAAATCAGAAAGTGGGAATCTTCAGAAATCAGATGCTTTTCAAATGAAGTACCAAAAGAGAACGAGGAATCAGAAATCACCTGCAAAGTGTTTTTTTTTTTTGCAGTGGCTCTCATCTAAAAAGATAAAGAACCAAATATTTAAAACAAAAGCAGGTTTTCATATTTGTCTTTTTTTAACGGGTAAGATGGCAGCGAACCTAAACGTGTTTTATTCAGTTGGACTGAAGGTAAAAACGTCTCTCTGGGTCTTAAAGGTCTAAAGTGCAGATCAGGAGTTTACGCCTCCATTAGGCGTCTCTGCACAAGCTTTCAGGCCATTAACTGCTGAATCTCATCACTGATGTTTATGAAAGAGATTCCACTGAAGCTGCTTTACCGGAAGTCGACAAGACGTGAAAAAACCCAACTCAGACACCCGACAACAGATGGAGGCGAGTTGGAGAAATGAGCCAATTCTTGATCACAAAAAAATGACAGCAGTTCAAACTCAGGATGCACCGATTACAGTTTTCTGGCCCTTTTAAAAAGCCGGACCTTCTGATTCTGATTTTGGCTGATAACGATTTTTATTGTAGCTAAACTTAGAAAGGAAGTCGCCGAGTTGTTAACAGTGACGTCACTTCACTGCAACGTGCAGACATGATGGGCCGGTCCATCAGTCAGACCTCTAAAACAGGCAGAGCAGAAGAGACAGCGGCTGATTTTTAGACCTTTGCTGAGGGAGATACAATCGGCTCCACATGTAAGAATCAGCTGAGCAACAATCTTCCCAAAATAAGGAAATTGGCCCCAATAAATCAGCTGGTCAATAAATCGGTGCACACCTCGTCCAAACCACCGCCTGCCTTATGAGCACTGTAAAAACTCAACACTTTAGCAAGTAATTTTAGTCTAGTTTACCTTAGTACACTTGAAATAAGATCAAATTAACTTACAAATAACCTTTCAGCAACATAAGAGCTTGTTTTAAGCCAATAATTCCTTAAAATTGATGAAAAGTACTAGATCAATAGGCAGATTATTTAACATTTGCCAATTTTTCCCATAAGTGAAATAATGTGTCACTTTTTCATCAGTACTAAGGAATGAATGACTTAAGTTCCTATATCTTCCTGAAAAGTTACTTGTAATTTGGTTTTATTTTATTTCAAGTTTACCAAGATATTTGCAGTAGAAACTGGAGCAAAATGTGATTTTGCAGTGAAGGAAACGGCCACTGACTTGGTCATACGGTCACTTAGTCAAGCCTTCATATTTTTGTTATTAATCATGAAAAATAGAAAGTAGAACTTGAATCTAAAACAAATAAAAATGAAGCCTGCAGCTCATTTCAGACATGCTCTAAAGTTTGAATCCTGAGGGAAAACAAATCCAATCCGAGTCGACACTCAGATTAAAAAGGTCTGAAGAGTGAAAGATGAATTTCCTGCGGACTCACCCTGCCGAGCGAGTCGTCAGTGTCCGGAGAAGCAGCGGCGAGACCTGAGGATGGAAAAACTCACTCCGATTGTCCAAACAGCAAAAGCAAAAAGAAAACAAAACGACTGGCAGCGGCTCGACTAACGGATCGACGCTGCTGCCAAAAACTCAGACTCTCCGGTCCAAACTCCCCCGTTAGTCCAGGTAAAGACCAGGAGAGAAGGTCAGCGTGTGTGTGTGTGTGCAGCGGGAGGCAGAGTGCATGTGTGAACAAGCAAAGCGAGTGAGCAGGATATGTACACTCCCAGAGAGGGAGGCGACTGAGGAGCAGCAGGTAATCACACTCAGTCACTCCGCCTCAGAGTTTACTCAACCATTTACCTAATCTGATAGAGAGAGAGAGAGAGAGAGAGAGGGAAAGAGACAAAGAGAGAGAGAAAAAGAGGGAGAGAGACAGAGAGAGAGAGAGAGAGGGAGAGAGACAGAGAGAGAGAAAGAGAGAGAGAGGAAGAGAGACAGAGAGACAGAGAGAGGGAGAGAGACAAAGAGAGAGAGAGAGAAAGAAAGAGAGAGAGAGGGAGAGAGAGAGAGAGAAGGAGAGAGACAAAGAGAGAAAGAGAGAGAGAGACAGAGAGAGAGAGACAGAGAGAGAGAGAGAGACAGAGAGAAAGAGAGAGAGAGACAGAGAGAGAGAGAGAACAAGAGAGAGAGAGAGAGAAAGAAAGAGGCAGACACTCCTCTTTGTTGCTCAAAAATTAAACATTCCTTTGTGTGAAATATTTGAGTAAAAAAATGTTTCATCTCTTCTGTGTTCAGATGTTAAAAAGGTAAAAAAAAATACAAACTTGTGTTTTGCTCAAATATTCAAACCCTCTTTATTTTTGCGCATTTAGTTATAATTAGGCTGAAGCGATTAATCGCAGGGGCGGCCAAAGCTTTTTTGAGGCCCTGAGCTGATTTTCATGGGGCCCGCCCACCAACATGATTCTTCATGCTGCTCAGTGTGTAACATACCCACTACCATTAGCATCATTTATAATTAGCATACGCCATACAAGTTTTATTTTTGCAGTTCAATTTAACCTTACTGGAGTAGCTAACAAGAACAATCTTTTTTTTTTTTCTCGCTCTCTATGTCAGCTAAGCCGTACAGAGACTTGTTGCCATAGCAACTGACTGACAACAGCTCCACTAGCGCATCAGGATTCAACAAACACAGAAACCTTTCCCACTCAAACAGCAGAACATTCAGACGGTTACAGTTTTCTGTTTTCAGGCTTGAAACACAGCGGTGGTTGATTTAAACACCTGCTCCACTGATGATCTGCCAGAGAGGTCACCTTTAAAAAATTAAATAAAATGAATTCTGCAGCACATCTACATGATCAGGTTGTCACAGTCAAGCTAGCATAACTGACCCACTTCCCTCACCATTTGTTGGAACTAAAACCGTTTCCTAATCTTGTTATCTGCTTGTCACAGAGTTGACCGTTAGTGGCAAAGCACTCGACTCTTTTCCTATTATATAATCAATTCTACATTTAAGTTTTAGCACGCCATGTTGATAACCTAACAGCTAAAAGCAGTAATAGTCGGTGGCGGCTAGCGGCTTTTGCCCTCCAGCAGAGAAGCGACGGCGGGATCTTGCGTGTGTGACTTCACGCTGCAACATGTTTACTCCACCTTTTTTTATCAACTCTTTGATTGAGTCCGGATCGACTTGCTGTTCGGTCTGAATCCAGGGTTCAGGCTTCAGAGAGGCTGCTGCACGATGGTAACTGCAGAAAAGGTTTGCAGAAATGTCCTTCCACACTACAGCACTTCCAGACAAATCACCTCGGATGGAAAAGTAAACACCTGTAAACCTGAACATCTGTGTTCAGTTTCAGCCTGTTTGTTTCTCATGTCCTGAGGGAACATCTGTAAACTTCTGTCAGGGACTTGTTTGGTGAAACGTCTCACATATCACGTTTCCATCTGCAAGATAAACTTGTAAACAAATCCTCATCCTGTCGCCTTGCAGCTACCAGCAACAAACAAAGCTGACAAATAATAATGACTAAAACGCTGTGAAAAAACTCAGACTTCTTGTTTAATGATATTTTGCATTATTTTCAGAAGATTTTCCTGCATTAGGGAGAATTTTGGTCTGAATATTTCCAATGGAGACCAAAAATTCAATTTAATTCCAGTATTTCACATGTTTTTTACTCAACTAAAAAGCATCCACCCAAACAAATTACTCGAGAAAAATGGATTTGGTGAAAAGTCTGATTAGTAACTGATTAAATTATTAAATATTACATCATCAGATGGACCAAAATATAAATTAAAGTGGAAATGTTTGAAACTTTCAGAATGAAAAAGAGAATAATTTATATAAGTAAATAACTTATTTTAAAAAACTTATGAAACTTTGACACTGCAGGCATTTGTTTGGTGAATCTCTGGTTGAAACGCGTTTCATTCGGTGGGTAGAAAATCAAGAAATTTTACTCCAGAGTAGAAATACTTCATAATAAAATTACTCAAAAGTAAAAACACTGCTTTTATTACAGTGTATTAACAGCTAAAAGTACAGTTTTCCAAAACAATTATGAGTAAATGTAAGTGTCTGAAGCCAATCTGGGCCTCTGTTGGCGTGCAGAAGGTCACGTTTGTGCCGCAGCGATCATTGATCCCCTGGTCAGGCCAGCATGTCAACATCCAGCTCTCCCTCTCGTATCGACCTGGCTAGCCGCTACAGCTAACGCGTCGTTACATAACGGCTCCGTTCGCTTTGGCGCGACGGCTGCAGCTGCTGCTGGGAATGTGAAAATGAGAAGCAAGTCTGTCAAACAACACATCTGCTTTAGCTTTGATCCAATATTTCTGCATTTTGGTCTCAAAAACAATAATATTACATTTTATCGCAAAGGTAACGTCTGTGGGGAATTATCGTCCAGGAAAATTTGTTATTGTGACGGGCATAATGATGATCGCGAAACGTTTTGACCCAACAGAAGCGCCCAAGTCCTCCAGATGCATCAGAGGTCTGGTACCCAACTATTCATTTAAAGCAGAGCCGTTACGCAAAATTCACATTTTATGCATTTTTATGCTTCCATTTGGGTCTCAGCTGCTTCTGAATAAAGACAAGATGCTTTAAAACAAATCAAAAGAAAACAAACCACCCAGAGGTTTTTTGGCAATAAGTTTATGTTTCTTGGTGTCTGGAAAATGAGTCCATTCAAAAACACTCGGATTGATCAGTCACACTGCACCATAACCGAGCAACCCCACCCAAGCCAAGTTGCTAGATAGCAACTTAGCAACTCAAGTGGCATAGCAGGATGTTTGGTCGACTGGTTTTACCTCTGTATGTGCTGTACAATGGCTGCTGGAAAACACGAGTGTTTTGTTGTTGACTCACTATCCAGAAACCATTTTCAGCATTCTTGTTGGTTATGCAGAAGGCTCCACGTCTGCTTTTCAAAGATGTACAGATGTGTCAATGGACATCTGTTTGCAGCCTTTTTCATGCTCAAGTGTAAACGATGAGAGGCCATCAGCAGCTTATGTGGATTTAAAGCGACAAGACGTCCTGAAACAACTCCACAAGGACAGAACTGAGTAGACCGAGATCTCATTCTCTAAGAATATTTTGTCCCAAGTATATTTTCATTTTTTCCCAGTTCAGTCTCATTATATTCAAGATTTCTGTCCTTAAAATAATTTACATTTCTGTCCTCTTGGAATGCAATAAATGCCAAACCGATTATGTTATTAGTCGTCAGTCCAGACCGGCCATGTTCTGACAGGTTCTGATCCAGAACACATTTATGCCTCAGTGTTTGCAAACAGCGCGCGGCCTAGCAACGACGACGGCGCATCATTCCCGCCCAGCTGCCGCCAGCACAGCAGCAGATGACCAGCGAACTGCGGACGAGTTGCATCAGGAGCTTTACAGAAACACACACACGCTGCAAAGATGGAAGAAAACGAGAGCATGGAAATAATGGAAATAAAAACATACAAAGTCCATCGGCCATAAAGCGTCTGAGATAAGACAGAAAGTGGCCTCCACTATCAGTTTGGCTCGTTTTTAAAATCACAGCATCCAATAAACACTTCTGAGCTTTCGACCAGGAAACAGAAGCGTTCAGTCAAAGGTTCAAATAAATAAACGCTCTTATCTGAGCAGACAGGAATTTATGGCTCATTTTTTTCTTTTGCTTTCAGAACCAGAACCGTGTTGGGTATCATTACCATTAAAATCGGGTCAGGAGTCCCAGAAGCTTCCAACTACTGATGAGACATCCACAAATGATTAGATTCCTTTGAACAGTTCTTTTCTGTGAATGACAACTTCATTCTACGACAAATAGAATATGATGCATCGTGGCAGCGCTGCGCGCCCCTTCTTGCATTTTGGTTGTTTATAGTTCTACCACCAATGCATTGGTGTCTTATTTGTTATATTAAGCACAGATGAGGATTTTAAGAAACTTCAATCCACTTTTTTCCTCTTTGGTTTGTTACATTTTTACAAAATAGGTTTATTGGTACAAATTTCCCAGGGGTGGGGGGATTTCTTCTTGACTTCTCTTGCAATAATCTCAATGCGGCATCTTGATTTCTATATTTAAAATGGTCCGTTTTCATGAACTCATCATAATTTTTTATCAAGTTTTTGCACCAAAGACTTAAAAACGTATAAACATGTTTTCAGTGGTGTTCTTTAACAGTATTTGGAACTTAAAACAGTTTTTAAAAAATCATCGTTACTAAATAAAACTGACTTTATTATAACCATTTACCAATAAAGGGTGTTTTTAATCATTTATTGTGAGGAATGTAATACTTTATACATTTTTCTTCTAGAACATACTGTGGTTATTTACTTAATGCAGACTTTTTGTGAGCTTCACCCAGAAAATGAATTAAAATAAGACGATATTAGGAATTGAACTGGTTTGGTCCTGGAGATTCGGTTCTCTTCTCTGGCAGAAAGCAGGATGGAGATTTTGACCTTCAGTCGTGTTTTGACCGGGCAGCACCTGGTTTCCCCTCCAGGCCGTCGGGTTTCAGCGCCGCTTCTCCTTTTGTTCTGCACGCGCTCTGCGGTCCGTCAGCGCAAACAACGCTGCGCAGTTCAAATATACGTTTATCTGAACAGGTGCAGCGGTCGGCAGGTGAAGCTGCTGCAGTTTACGCAGGAAGCTCCGTGGAAAACGTGAATTTTACGAGGCTCTGAGACAGTTTTTCTAATTTGAGAGTTTGCAGGGCCGCGAGCTTCTTTCTGTTTAACATACATTTGCA